CGCCTCCCCAGGATACGATAGGTATCGGCCAGGAAAACCACATTGCAGCGACGCGAGAGGAATTGCAAATCTGGGATTTATGCGCGCACGAGCCGCACTTCAGCTAAATGATTGTGCTGCAGCGCGCACGGAGACCTAGCTTCTGTGTGACGTCGCAACGTGAATCTCCTGACCACCACTTGCCAGTGTATCACCTCCGTCTCTTCGATGATTATTTATTGTTTATTCTAATCTTATCAGATCATCCTCCTCCCATCATCCTTTGCTCACGCCTCTTTTCTGTTATTCTTCGTCATTTACTAAGCTTGTGCTTATGTGAATTCCGTTAAGTAAAATATTGTTTTAGAAATGGCCGTACCAGCGACCAAGTTGTCATCGGGTTACGAAATGCCCATGGTTGGCTTGGGTACCTGGCAAAGCAAACCAGGGGAGGTCTGTACATTTTTTCATAACTTGTATTTTGTGACTGAAGTTATTATAGAGCGGCTGATTCAATAATTATTCTCTGTCAGGTGGGTAAAGCGATCGAAACGGCACTGAGCGCCGGCTACACCCTTATCGATTGTGCATGGGTATACGGTAATCAGGTAGAGATTGGCGAAACGCTCAAGAAGCTCTTCTCCACGACCTATGATGTGAGACTTTATTTTTTTGTGAACCAGAGATCACTACTGTTTCAACGCTCAAGTGGGTGCCACGTACTTTTGAAAGGGAATAGAGGCCTTTTTCTGCTGGTCTTTCCTCTCAGCCGCGGGCGTCAATGAAACCCAGGGAAAGTTATCTCGTCGAGAGGCCGCGGACTATCGTGAAGCTGATGTAGTCTTGTTCTGCTGCCCAGTGGCCCTGTCCCCGCCCCATTACACTACAACCCCCAAATCTGGAAAAATTTCCAATTCGAAGTCGAATTTAGGTAATAGTTCAGGCGAATACTGACTTTGGGGGGGTTTAGCAACTTCTGAAACCTTTCATGATGGAAATAATTAACTGTGAACTGCCACTCCATCCGTGCCCCGATCAGACCTTGCCCAGTGCCATTTCATGAGATGATGCTGACAAGCGGTGGGCTGACGTTCTGCTGACTGTCAGATGGTGGATTCCCTCCCTCTCCCCATAATACTCGTGTCATGTTGATTATAGTTGCTCATTGTATGAATTTCAGAGAGAAAACATCTTCATCACATCGAAAGTGTGGAACACATTCCACTCAGCGCAAGCCTGTGAGGTCAGAATTTTTGATTATCGTACGAAATTTGACACTGAGACACATGTCCAGCGAGGGATGAGGCTAGGGAAAGCTTCAATGGAGTTTAGAGAAAGCAAATGCATATACTCAGTCGAAATCTTACTGTAACTCCATTGTGTGAAGAGAAGGATTCGTGTGCAGAAGCGCTCTTGTGATTGGCTAGTTATGAGCAACAGCCAGTCACAGGGAGAGCTCACACATCAGCACTGCACTAGTGTTGTTG